TTTTTTTTTGAGTTGGAGTCTCACTCTGTCTCCCAGGCTGGAGTGCAGTGGCATACTCACGGCCACCCCGGCATCAACCTGCTGCACTCCAGTGATCCTTCTACCTCAGCTTTCCAAGTAGCTGGAACTACAGGCACGTGCTACCATGCCTGGCTAATTTTTCATTTATTGTGAGACGAGATCTCGCCAAGTTGCCCTGGTCCGTCTTGAACACATGGGCTCAGGCCATCCACTCACCTCGGCCTCTCAAAGTGCTGGGATGACAGGATGAGCCACTGAGCCCGGCCAGCCATTTCCTTTTCTAGAAGTCAAAGGTGCAAGGCCAGGGAAGCCTGGATGGGTCAAAACTCACGTGCTGTTGTGACAGAGTCTTCACGGACATTGCCTGCCTTGGGAGCAGCACGGTCCTGGCCTGGCAGATGTCCGCTTCCCTGTGGTTCCCCACCCACCTCCCCTATCTGACCAGTTCCCTACCCCCTGTAGGGCTGTGAGGAGCGGCTGACCCCATTCAAACTCTTCCCACGGCCCTGGAGCGCCGTGCGTGTGAAGGAGTATGGGTACACAAGGCTTCACATCCTCAATGGAACCCACGTCCACATCCAGCAAGTGTCCGACGACCAGGTTAGTGAGGGGTGGGCCATGTCACCCAACTGCACAGCCAAGGCCCAGCATGTTTGGGAGCTCAGTGGTGAGCAACGTGGACTCTAGGCCTGGCATGGTGGCTCACGCCTGCAATCCCCACACTTTGCGTGGCTGCCGAGGAGTATCCCTGGAGCCCAGGAGCTTAAGACTGGCCTGGACCACATAGTGAGATCCCATCTCAAAAAATAATAATACCAAAGATGCAGGCCGGGTGCAGTGGCTTAAGCCTGTAATCCCAGCACTTTAGGGGGCCAAGGCGAGAGGATTGTCTGAATCCAAGGGTTCGAGACCAGCCTGGACAACTTGGTGAGACCTCATCTCTACAATAAATTAAAAAATTAGCTGGGCATGGTGGCACATGCCTGTAGTTTCAGCTACTTGGAAGGCTGAGGTGGAAGGATCACCTGAACCCAACAGGTTGAGGCTGCAGTGGCCGTGAGCGTGCCACTGCACTCCAGCCTCAGTGATAGAGTGAGACTCCAACTCAGAAAAAAAAAGAAAAGAAAAAAGAAAACCCCAAAGATGCCTTTGTCCTATCCTTAAAAAAATTTGGATTCTAGGGCTAGAAATCCAGAGTTCAAATCCTGCCTCTACTACGTACCAGATGGATGGCCAAGCAACTTATCTAACTCCTTTGAGCCTTCATTTTCCCACCTGTGAAAGGGGGATAACCATCATTTCTACCTCACACCATTATATGGGGATTGAATGACTTATTTTATACAAAGAGCTTAGAACAGTCCTTCTTCTTTTTTTTTTTTTGAGTTGGAGTCTCACTCTGTCACCCAGACTGGAGTGCAGT